CCTAATCCTCTTCCGTATACTTCCCTCCATTAAAATAACACCTTTATGCCGAGACGATGCTCCTGATTTACTTTCCTGTGACTTAAACCTAACACTCAGAGAACGGCATCGCCGCCATACTGCCTTCCGAGTCTCTTAAGCGCAAACAGATGATTGCGCATTAAGCCGCAGGGATCACTGAACCTGCTGTACGTGGTCATGGCCCAGTTTTGTAACGACAATAAAGTCAGAGGCATGAAAAGGTCAGACACATAGATAGCGGATGCTGAGTCACTGAAAAGGCACGACCAGACATATTCCTGACAAGCCCGAGCGACGTACGGGCCAGTTGGGCTTTAAGGAATGAAGCCGCAACGCTTATTACGCTCGACGCTCTGTTATTCAAACAACAAAGGGAGTGCGACGCGAAACTGACTCGTGGAGGCAGGTAGTAAATTGGGCAGCAGTTAGATGAAGTATTTCGTTTGTCTCAAACACGAAGCCCGTCTCTCCACTGTAACTCAGAAGGGCTTTTGGCCACATGTGCAGCATTTACTCCTGTCTGCTTTCAGTTACAGCGCACATAAATCTTCCCCTTCCACCCCAAAACCCCCACAGGCCTTTCAAAAAAAAAAAAAAAAAAAAAAAATAAAAAAAATAAACAGAGAAAACGATCCAGGTTTGTTTTCATTTAGACACCTATTTTATCAATATCCATAAACGTTTATTAGTCTGGTACGTTTGTTCTTGCTCAGGTAGTAAAAAGAACTTCGTGACCTGAAGCACGGCGAGGATTCCTTCCAGGTGAGGTCTGGATGGCGATCCAAAGAGGGTGCTGTCTGCAGGATTTTTTTTCTCTTATGAACAGAGTGTGACCCTGCAGGTGTGTTAGATAATGCCGCTGTTTCAGATGTCAGGCGCTTTCGCTTAGTCCAGTTGTGCTGCATTCTGTAGGCGTCAAACAGCTGACAACAATTGCTGTCTGGCAGGTGATGTGCTTTTCTCTCACACCATCTAAAAGTTGAGGAAAACGGTGAGTTACTGGAAAGAGACGGCAATACGTGTTTCTAGGAATAAAAATCAGGTCTTGCTGCTAAGTCGGCCTGCCTCTTCAATTCTAGTAAATGCTCCAGGAAGTGAACAAAGGCAAATCTCTTCTAACATAAAATGTCCTCAGCAGGCAAATGTGTCGAGGGAAAATGCAGGAGATGCTTATTTCATTTGCGCTTCTATGGTTGGATTTGTTATTTCAGAAACATCTGCACACTGTAAGCACCTCAGCTCACATCTTTACACTTAACGTTTTGGTTCGCAGCACAATCGCATCGCTTGTCGTGTCATGCAAACTGTATTGTATTACGGCCAGAAACTTCTAGGTGTTTACAGTGACGCTGGAAGAAAAATCTTTCAGTGGCTAAATCAGATTTGAGAGGTGGGGAGGTTCTCCTTTCAGCATTACAATGGCCCTAAAGGCAGAAATCATATCTCTCGGTGCGATCTGCTGTGTACTTTACTGTAAAGGCTGTGTGGTGTAAATTTCCTCGCCTGTACCCACTGGAGTCCGCCGAGACGTCTCGGCGGACCTGAAATTTCTGGGTGCTAAATACTTCCGGTCAGAGTGTGGCACCAAACACGGCAGACAAAGAAAACGGCGGGTCGGATTACAAGCAGGAGAAGGAAAAACAAGAAGGGACACTTGTTTTAAGTAACACTGAAAGGAGAGATGTGCTGTTTTCACAGTGTGGATTATTTACCTCTCAAGTACGAGGTTGCAAAAACTGCAACGACGCTCGGTGACAAATCATCGTATCCTTCCTTTTCAGCTCTTTTGTTCTTCTCCTCTGTGTAGACGTTACAGAAGCTGCATTGCTATCATTATCTCCACCTAAGTGGCCGCAGAGAAAACTGTATAACATCTGAGCGTGACTGGGTCGCCAGCGTGAATGGTGGCTCATGCTCGCAGCTCCAGACGAGACAAAAGGTGGTTGATAAAAAGAAAGGAAACATCCTGCACTTTCCAAATCTGTTCTTCATTTTAGGGGTATCAAGGTAAGGTATGAGGCACAACTCTTTAAGATTTTTATTGATTAAAAAAACAAAAAAAACAAAAAACACAACAACTTGAAAACCATGTTTTCCTTTAACTTTACAGTTCTGAGCTACTCCTTATGTTGGCCCTGTCACATGAAATCTTAAGTAACACAGCGAAACGTGAAAAGAGTCGAAGCAACACGAATCCTTCAGCAAGACACTCCACCGTGTCTTTTTCTGTTTCTCGGTAAATTATGTTTCAAAGAGACAGTATTTATTTTTGCTTTAAACGTGTTGAGAAGGGAGTGTTACACATCTGCTGGTGCGGATTTAGAGCCAACATGATTTAAACCCCAGACATACAGAAGAAGGCCTGGGTATTTTATTACCAGGCCTAAACAAACGCCTCCTTACATACAGGCTCCTCTATAGGTAGGGAGCCAGTCACATGCATGGGGATATTCCAGACACGTGACCGATGGGATTTGTGACGGAAACAATTCTCCGTTTAAAGTCATCAGATTATGCGCCAAACAAGCCGTAAAAGGCATTTCTGTAGGGTTTTTGTAATTTATTTAAACATTCCACACAAACAAGTTTTTTTTTGTAGCTACACCCATTCAGATTGTAAAGCGAGACAAGCCTTACATAATACATAGTCTATATTTGACCACTGAGCTCCAGAGAACTCCAGCTATGCAACAACCGCCCCTCTTCTAGGTTACTGGGTGGGGGATTGGAGACCAGTGGAGCTCACATGGATACATGCGAGAAGGGACTGAGGTCCATTACTAAAAATACTCTCAAATCCAAATGGGGACAGTTGACCATACAGCCCCTAGCAAAAAAGTATTCATATCCCTTTGGCTTGGATTTCATACAAGACTAATACAAAGTAGTGTATGACTGTGAAGTGGAATGAAAGGAATGCCTGAGTTTCAACATATTTTAAAAATATATTCGGTAAGCGTGTGTAATGCCTGTGTACCCGGCCCCTCGGGTCAACACTTCTGTAAACCACTTTACAGCGCAACAACAACAACAACTGCAGTTCTTTTAGCTTATTTATGCATAGGGAGTTGTGTTTTTGACGTTCTCCTTTGTAGGATAGCTCCAGTTCAGTCAAAAAAGCTGGACTTTGACTGGGCCGTTCTAACGCGCGAGTATCCTTTGCTTCAGGATCGACCTGTCTTCGCCGCATCCACCTTTCCTGTCACGTCTGAAAAGGTTCCCAACACGCGGTGAAGGACAGCCTCACCGCATCATGACGGCGGTGGGGATGGTGGTTTTAGGGGAACTGGGGTCCTTATAAATTTCTTCCTCCTATGGCTTTCTTTTTGCCATCCACCCATAAAGGCTGGATTTATGGAACCAGTCAAAAATATTTGTCCCATCTTAGCTAGGAATTCTTTCATCTGTCCGTTCTGGTTGACAACCATTTTAGTTTGCTTTTCTTGACTGGTCTTGTCTCTTCCTTGGTTTTCATGCTGCTGTTTGTTTACTAATGTAAAATGTGGCCCTGGCTCCAGTAAAGGACAGCTGGATTTCAGCTGGGTGTTTTACTTATTAGATGCCTTCTGAAGGCAGCTGCTTGAATAGGATTTTATTTAGTAGCAGTAGAATAAATGACGGTGATAAAAAGGTAAAGTCCATTTTTTATTGATTTATTTTACTTTTTGTGAACCTTGCGTCCCTTCACTGCCACTTTGCATTTAACTGATTACTGCTGACTGATATATTATATAAGATCCCAATAAAATAAGAGGCAGTTTGTGGTTGTAATGTGATAAAGTGTACTTTTGCAAGCCACTGTATTTATAACTCCAGGTTTTATCAGTTAAGATACTGGCATCATGGTTATTATCTCAACAATCAGGCAACAGCAGTTGTTTTCTTTAATCTACTTCAGCAATTGCCAACACCAAATTTGCCAGCTTTTAGCTCAATTCTCTACTTTAATCTTATTTGACGGTGCCCTAGAAGGCGTTCACACAGGTTGCGGCGCTTCTACGCAGTGATACCACTTGAGTCTCTGCCATATTTTGATGTTTTTATGTTTTTCGGCATCTCCCTTATCTGTGCTCCAAAGCACTCCTGTAATAAATCAAGCAGGACGAGACGGGAGTCTGACGTCAGCAGCACGACTGCTTGCGTAATCTTGGCCCTCAAGTCCCATAGATTTGTCATATGGAGCAATCCGGCAAAGTAAACGGACTCTTATCGCACTCTTATTCTCTCTATGGATGGTTGGATCCATCATGTCCAGCCTGAAGGCTCCGCTCGGCCTCCGTCTGCCATGTTGGGCAGTCAGAGTTGAATTCAATAGAGATTCGGATCAGCTCGAATCAGTAAATGCCGGCTGCTACATTTGTTTTTCAGCTGTTCAAAAGCTTCACATGACGCACTATAACTATAGCAAACACTCAGTTTCCTTCAGTAACACGTCCGTCGGCGTCAAAATACGAGGGAGGGGGGAGAAAAAAAAAAAAAGAAGTCTTCTTGGGGGAATAATTCACTGAAATTGCAGGAAAGTTGACAGACGGGTAAGAAAATTACCTCCACAACTCATCCAGTGTGACAAACGCAGTGGTATCACAATTCATCACGGTGACACTTAAGCGCTCATTGTTTGTCAGTGTCAGTTTCCAGCCACGCTTTTACAACCTGCTGTGACGTCTGCTCGTGTCTGTGCGGCTGACAGAAAGAAGACTGCGCCGCTGCACCGGTGCACTTCCTCTCGCTGCTCAACAGCAGAAAAATGCAACACTAACGTCGTTTTACTTCTTAACTAACTAGGCGGAACAACACCGGTTCACTAAGGTAATTTAAAACTATTTACCAGAGACTGACGTCTTAAATTTGTTTGCTCACGGGCATCTCCGGTAAGAAAGTTGGTCTAATGTACAGTTTATTGAAGGTGTGTTTAAATACGGGCTTCCTCACCGCACCTACAAGGCTCACAGTCTTAGTTATTCTAGTTCCAGCAGGATGTCAACCTGCGGGATAAACAGAGCATCCAGCAGATTGCAGTACCTGCTTTAAATGGAGTAACGTGGGGGCGGTAAAGGATAGTTCAGGATTTTAAAGGTTAAGTTTTGTTCCAAGGTTTCAAGTCGTCCATTTCTGAGAATAATTGGTCACAGAGGCTGAAGACAAAAAGGCCCCCAGATCCAAATGGTAAATGGCCTGTAGTGTTTTATCTAGTCTAGAGGACTTCAAAGGGGGAGTCATTCACCCATTCATGCAGACATTCATGCTGCTGATGGTGGTATGCTACACTGTAGCCAGAGCAACAGCAGGCAAGGTGAGTGAAGTGCCTTGCTCAAGGACACAAAACCTGAGACGAGCTGAATGGGGCTTTGAGCCGGAAACCCAGATTACAGGACAAACTCCTACCTCCTGAGCGCCCAAACAGACTTTTACCGTACCAAAACAACGTCACATTTTGTGACAAAACCTTAGTCAAAAATATAGAAAACTCGCAAAATTGTGTATTTTTAATTTCTATTTTTGAAGATTAGGATAAAAAAAAAATAATCATGTTACAACAACAATTACTGCCTTGGGGTTTTCATTTGCGTTTCTGGGCACTGAAGCTAACTGCTAATCCAAGCCTTCTTTAAACAACTCCAAACTCAAAAACATCCCAGCAGGCAATGGATGACTGTTTTCTTAACCTTTAAACCATCGTCACGTGGTAGTTTTACTCAGAGGTCAATAACTATTTATACAGGAAATCGAAGCAGAACTCGGCGCTCCACCAACAAAATCTTTCTTTGAGAAAGTCTTACGACTGCAAACGCAGAAGAGAAATGAGTAAAATAAATGCAATGTGGTGAAAAAAAATCAACAAGTTTTCGTTTAGACCAATGTTTCTAACTTTTTATGCTGCCTTGTTTTCCTATTTGACACTCTGATCAGAAACGTTATGCATGTTCCTTTCTCAGTACGGGAAGGTCCCAGGGGGAACACTCTGTTTCCTGTGTAAATAACCATCCAGTGAAATTGTGATAATGAATGAAAAGTTTTGTAAAACAGAGTAATGATGTATTTGACCCTAGAGTTGATTCACAATAATAGAAATCCACTTTGGTCGTGGCCCATCAGAGATTAGCTGTCAGCTTCAGCTTTTAATCTGGATTTACATTAAATGAACTTGCAGAGAGTTATACAAAACTGCTCATAGCGTTTCAACAGTACGTCACTTTAAACCCTAAGATATAATTGTTTTTGCCAATTGAATAAACATCTTGCCTCTACATCAACAGCGCTCCCTCTTACACGAAGCTGTGAGGGAACGTGAGAATGTCAAAGGGGCTGACATTTATCTGCAGCCCGCCGCCCCCACCACCAAACGCTTTTAAAAAACTTTTCTCATCCCTGCTCAGGTAAGAGACGGCTCTTCTCCCAGAATGCACGAGTAGCGCGAGGGTGGTTATTTATAGTCGCATGACGCATGATGTGTCTCATGTGTGCTCGGCAGGACCCTCGGCTGGAGACGCCGCTTCCTGGCTCTTCAGCGGTCGTGGATGTTGTTGCCACAGAAACAGCGCGGTGTTGACATCACAGTGCTTCAAGTGATCTGCTGTGGAGACCAAAAAGCCAAAGCCTGATGATCACCGCCTGAGTCCTCGGAGGTTTGCGAGAAGCTGTTAGCCTCCAGCTGTGGACACAAGCTGAAACGTGCATGAAACACAGAAGAAGACAAACACACACACACACGCATACACACACACACACACACACACACACCCTTGTGTTTTGGAGAGAGGATAATGACGTGAACTGGCGCATGTGATTGTGTCTGTTTAATGGCTGCATTGCTGAAACAACACGGGATGAACTTTGGTCTGTTGTAAACATTTTACGGGCGTGTAAACATGCAGTGTGGAAATGTATGATGAGCTGATTGGGGGGGGGTGGACATTTTTAATTATTACCTTAAAAAGGGAAAATTCCCCACCTCTGCTGTTTGCTGGAATAAACAGAAACAATCCAAAGGCCCATCTCATCACTGAGGTAGTAATGTCTGCTATTGTGAGTAATGTCTATGATTGAGTCAGGACCATCATTATGAGACATTTAGGGTATTTAAGCCCGTAATAGGCTCCATTTAAGACGAGATGAGGCGTAAAGACAAAGGCAGGTCCGACCGCAGGCCAGTCACAGAAGACCAGAGACTCTGGACACTCAAGAAACGTGCAGACAAGCCCGCCTCAAACCGGTGCCACACTTACAGTTCCTGGGAGAAAAGCTCGCAAACGTTCTGTTTTCACCCCAGGAATGTCTTTGTAAAAGGCACCAAAGCTAATAAAACGCAACCTGCCACACAGAAAAAGAGGCAGAGCGGAGAAAACCGGGAGGGCAAAGAAAAGGTTATCTGACTGTGAGCAACACCGAGCAAATAAAATTAGTAGCCGTTTTGTGTGGGGAGTTTGTTTTGATGAATGGACGCATCAAAGTCTAAAAGGTCACAGGTTTCTACTGTACCTGTTAAGACATGCAAATCTCCCCATGGGAGATGTAAGCTGAGCCTCACGACAGATAAAGGACATTGAAACAATAAGAACATATCCATTCATCCATTACTTTTCTCTATTAATAAGTGGGTGAAAGAGGGAAACTCTAACAAACCTCTCGCCAGCAGCGCTCATTCTGGGGATCCAAACATGTTCTCTGGCCAGACGGGATGCGCAGCTCCTCCACTGGGTTCTGGACTCCTCCATCTCCTAGTTGGACACAAATCTGAGTTCAGGACATATCTTAATGTAAAAACTGCTGGTGGATCCTTTCAGTGTGGAGTAAAGTCCAGATCTATTTGGCTAAGAGTTAACTGTACCAAAGTCAGGTAAGACCAATCTCAAAAACTTAACAGTGCTTCATTAACCTTTGAAGCATTGTCACATTTTCATTAAGGATCTATTCAAATTAAAGCTGATAATTACTTGGGTGGGAAACTCAAAGTTATTTTGTTAATCACTTTTGGCTTCTCTGTAAATGACCATCCTATGCAAAATATAGCAGCGTCTCCATGAACTACTCGACTTTTCAAAGGTTCAAGCACTTTCAAGACATTAGATGTTTGCTTTTGGCCTTCTCTGACTCACTGTTTTCTTGATCTGGATTTGAAAATATACTAACTGCTTCTATTTTTTTTTTTATTTAATTTTTTTTTTTTAACAGAACCTCATTTCCAAAAATCCCAAATTATCTCTTTAATACGTGGCTTCTGGCCAGCCCTTATTATAAGCAGAAGTGGAGTTTGTATTTGCCGCAGGGTCGGCATGAGGCATCATTAGATTTGTGGCTGCAGAAGGTCCCGTCCTGACGTCAATTCTCCCATGACAGCAGCGGTCGTACATCACACTCGCAAATAACTTCAAAGTTGAACGTTCTGTTAACAGAGGCACAGCTTAAGGCCAAATTAATAATGCCAGCTGCTTGTGTATGAGTTTCAAGAGCGTTTCATGCATACGCTAACTGTTCATGAGTAGAGAAGTAAAAAAAATAATAAAAAAATTATAATCACAGATTTTATTGTGATTCTGATTCTGATGAATTTCCATATCATCCAACATAAAAAGTCCTATTGCTTGACAGCCCAAACATCTGGGGCTATCACATTTGAATTCATCTTAAAATAAAATCATCTTTTATTTTTTTACATAAATTTTTTTACTAAGCGACATTGTTTTTGTTTTTCTTCAGGGTTTTGTAAGCTGTTGCTCATTAGGCTTCGCATTCTGCCAATAATTTAAACAAACTTTAAAATACTTTCTTTCATTGTACTTGAGATGCAAAAAGAAGGAGAAACGACAAACCTTGTCTACAGCAAGTAAATTATTAACCGTTCACGCTTCAGTATATAAATTAAATAAGGAATTTGAGTCACTAATTAGCTGTATAGCAAGTTCTTTTCAAATCACAGAATGCAAAAGTGTTTCATCATAGAGTGATGAAACCCCCCCCCTCTCCCCCCTTTAAAACTTGCTCAGGCCCTCAAATAACTTTCGGCCGCCTCTGCTCCGAGCAGCTGCAGTCTTATCCCAGTTCTTACTTTTTTTTTTTTTATCAGACTCAAGTCAGACTCGGGCTCAGCTGTAGTCTGGGCCTGAGGTAATGCTCCTCGGGATCCCTGATGATCGGAGGGGAAAACTGTGCCAGCATGCAGCTGCTGCAGAGCAGAGGAGGAGGAGGAGCAGAAAGCTGTCACCGAACGTCAGAAGGAGGGTGTTCCCTGCATGCAGGACGTCCATAATCAATGACCAAACGCAGCAGCCAATCACTGCGGCCCATGCTAATAAGGAGGCTCTCTAAGCCTCCAGGACCTTCCTTATGAATCGGCGCTTTGCACAGTGACCGGATTTCAGCGGCACACAGGGCAGGAGGAAGCTGCTGATCTCGGTCAATCCTAAAACTTTCTTTCTCTCCACCGCGTCCAGTTTTTGAACCAGACCTGCTCCAGCCGCTGACCCGAGAGGAATACGCGGTGATCTTAGTGATTTTGGAAGAAGATTCTCTGGTTGTTAATTGTTTATTTAATATATATAATCTTTTTTTTTTTAATTCCATCCTTTTTTTTTGTTTGTTTGTTTTGTTTGTTTTTCATTTAAGTCGGGGGGGAAAAAAGTTGGGACTGAAATGTCTGGAGCTTTGGATCAGACTCGGAGGTTCTGTGTGTTGTCGTGGGATCAGGTGCAGCGTTTGGACTCGATCCTTGGGGAGGCTGTCCCCATCCACGGCCGAGGAAACTTCCCCACTCTGTCCGTGCAACCCCGACAGATCGTCCAGGTATGGTAATCCGACACTCCCAACTCTCTTTTTACATTTTATTTTAATTTCGAGCAGCGGCAGTAGGAAGATCTGTTTAGTTAAGTTTACAAACAACTAATTTAGTCCACTGAACCCCCTCCCCCCCTCAAAAACAACATATAATCTATTATTAAGCCTGCAAACTGAATACATTTGGCTGGAGCTTCAAATTTAAATGAATAATTTACAGTAACTTAGTTATTCGCTTTGAAAGTCCTCAACGACCCCTGGTGGTCTTTTATCACTCTTAGACACACCCAGAACTTAATTTCCTTTCTTTTTTAAAAAACTTTTTTTCATCTCAAGATGATCCTCAATTTAAGTACATTTAATTTAATAGAGATTAATTAGTTTTATTCCATGAGAACGAGCAAAATTCTCCAAGAATGTATTGAATGTATGGAGCTAGTATTTACATATTCTCTCTGTAAATTTCATTTGCATGGCCTATATGATCTAGAACAGTGTGATCAGATCACGTTTCGCCTCCCCTGATACTTAGGTTTGCGTTTAGCTGGAAAAGAAACTGCAGAGTTAGAATTTCAAAATGAACGGGTGGCTGTTACAGGACACTCCCCCCCCCCCCCCCCCAAACCCCCCTCTCTTTTTTTCTACTTTTTTTTCTTTTTCGCTTTTTTAGCAGGCACAAA